CCGCCTCAGCCTTCCAAGTAGCTGGAACTACAGGCGTGTGCCACCACACCCAGCTAATTTATTTTATTTAGTGTCGAGACGAGGTCTCGTCATGTTGCCCAGGTTGGTCTTGAACCCGTGGACTCAGCAATTCTCTCACCTCTGACCTCCAAAGTGCTTGGATTATAGGCGTGAGCCACCACACCTGAATTTTGTTGTTGTTGTTATTGTTTTGGAGTCAGCGTCTCACTCTGTTGCCCAGGGTGGGGTGCAGTGGCACAATCAAGACTTATTGCAGCTTTGACCTCTTGGGCTCAGGTGGTCCTTCCACCTCAGTCTCCTGAATAGCTGGAGCTATAAGTGTGCACTACTATGCCCAGCTAATTTTTTGATTCTTTTGTAGATACAAGGTCTTGCTATATTGCTGAGGCTAGTCTCAAACTCCTAGGCTCAAGCAATCCTCAAGCCTTGGCTTCCCAAAGAGCTGGGATTACAGGCATGAGCCACCATGCCTGGTACTTTTTTTTAAAACATAGCTATTAGAAAATTTAAAATTACATGTATATCTTGCATTTTCTTTTCACTGGATAGTGCTGTTGTAGACTCTTAGTTTCTGCTGGTTTTCAGCATCAGAGACCTGCATCTTTTCAGCATAGCACAGGCACAGTCTAACTGTACAGCCCAAAGCACCTAGATAGTCCCCGACTTGCAATGGTTTACCTTACAATCTCTTGACTTATGGTGGCATGAAAGCAATGTGCATTCAGTAGAACATCAATAAATGACATGAGATATTCACACTCTATCCCAAAATAGGCTCTGAGTTAGATGGTCTTCCCTAATGTGAGTGTCTGAGCCCATTTAAGGTAGGCTAGGCTAGCTATGTTTGGTAGGTTAAGTGTATTAAGCGCATTTTCAACTTTAGATATTTTCAACTTACAATGGGTTTATGGGAACATAGCCCCATCATAAGTTGAGGAGCATCTGTACTTTTCTCCCCACAAATTTCAAAGCCTTTGTCAATGACCACTTTTTCCACAGGGCAGCTGAACATCCACTGCTTGGGAAGGGGTCTGGAACATACCACAGTAGCCTCAATATTATTCTGAGCAGAAAGCATTTGAGAATAGGCTTTTTTCTAAACCCTTTTATCTGCCTAAGTGCAGAACCCCCCAGAAGAACTCACTTGTCAAAAGTCCTCTACTGGCCAGGAGCAGTGGCTCACGCCTGATCCCAGCACTTTAGGAAGATGAGAAGAGAGGCTTGCCTGAGCCCGAGAATTCAAGGCCAGTTGGGGCAACATGGTGAGACCTCATCTCTACAATAAATAAATAAATAAATAAATAAATTAGCGGGGTGTGGTGGTGCACACCTGTAGTCCCAGTTACTTGGAAGGCTGAAGCGGAAGGCGTCCAGCAGGTTGAGGCTGTAGTGGCTGTGAACATGCCACTGTACTCCGGCCTGGGTGACAGAGACTTCGGCTCAAAAAAACAAAAATCACCTCCTAGAAGTTTCTCGAAACCAGGGAAGATTGGCTGTTACTGCCTGAGAGAAGTCAGCACCACACCTAAACAGTCATGGTCACAAAACTATTTTATCTCCCATCTTTTGTCCAAAGGGTTTGTTTATCTTTCCTAACAAGTGCCCTTTCTCCTCCCCTTCCTCTATCATGATGGTATATAAGTCCCAAATTCTAACTTCCTCCCATTTTCCTGTGAACTCCCCTACATTCTGAATAAAAATCTGTCATTTCTCTTTCTCATATGTCTTTTATCAGCTTAATTCTCAGGTCCCCAACTACCGAACCAAGAGGACAAAAGAAAACTTTCCTTCCCCGACACTTGGAACCAGTTACGTCAGTTACACATCTCCCCTGCCTTTTTTTTTTTGAGTTGGAGTCTCACTCTGTTGCCCAGACTGGAGTGCAGTGGCCGCTCCCGGCCACTGCAGCCTCGACCTGCTGGGCTTCGGTGATCTTTCCGCCTCAGCCTTCCAAGTAGCTGCAACTACAGGCACGCGCTAGCACGCCTGGCTGATTTTTGATTTATTGTAGAGATGAGGTCTCGCCAAGTTGTCCAGGCAGGTCTCGAACCCGCGGGCTCAGGCAACCCACTCACCTCAGCCTCCCAAGGCGCGGGATTACAGGCTGAGCCACCGAGCCCGGCTCCCTGCTTTTTTTTTAAATGTATGAAACTAAAAATGTTCATTAAAGGCAACTTGAGGTTTTGGGGATTTTTTTAAAGGCATATTATATTCCTGGATAAAAACATTCAATATAGTAAAGAATTAAAATTTCTTCAAATTAATTTGTTTTATTATATATAGTTAAGGTGTACCACATGATGTTTTGATATACATATCTTGCCATACATATCCACAGTCAAGCAAATCAATGTACCCATCATCCCATATGGCTACCTTTGTTTTTGTGTGTGTGAGTGGTCAAGAGTACCTACAATGTACTCTCTTGGCAAATTACAAGTATACAATACATACCATTGGCGACAGTCCTCATGTTGTACATTAGATCTCTTAGATGTATTCATTCTACATAAATGCAACTTTGTACCCTTTGACCTACATCTTCTCCTTCCCCTGGCCCCTCTCTCATACCTCTAGTAACCACCTCATTTTTTTCTTTTTTAGATTCCACATGTGAGATCATTCGGTATTTCCTTTTTGTGTCTAACTTATTTCACTATGTCTTCTTCTAGGAGTTTTATAGCTTCAGGTCTTACATTTAGGTCTTTAATCCATTTTGAGTTGATTTTTGTGTATGATGTAAGATAAGGGTCCAATTTCATTATTTTGCAATGTGAACATTGTTTTTCCAATGGCTTTTTTTTTTAAGAGACAGTGTCTAGGGCCGGGATCAGTGACTCAGCCTGTAATCCCAGCACTCTGGGAAGCCAAGGCGAGTGGATTGCCTGAGCCCATGGGTTCGAGACCAGACCTCATCTCTACAATAAGTCAGAAAATGGCCAGGCGTGGTAGTGCATGCATGCAGTTCCAGCTACTTGGAAGGCTGAGGCGGAAGGATCGCCGGAACCCAGCAGGTCGACGCTGAGGTGGCCGTGAGTGTGGCGTTGCACTCCAGCCTGGGCGACAGAGTGAGACTCCAACTCAAAAAAACAAAAAGAGAGAGAGAGTGTGTCTCACTCTGTGGCCCAGACCAGGCAGGAGAGTAATGGTGCTACTGTAGCTCACTGATCATAGCTCACCACAGCCCTAAACTCCCAGGCTCTAGTGAGCCTCCCGCCTCAGACTCCCAAGTGTCTAGGACTACAGGCATACACCACCATGCTCAGCTAATTTCATTTAATTATTTTTTGTAGAGAAATTATTTCACTATATTGCCCAGGCTGGCCTCAAACTCTTGGCCTCAAGAGATCCTCCCGCCTCAACCACCAAGTAGCTGAGATTACAGGCACACACCACTGCACCCAAACCTACCATCATTTATTAAAGAGATTATCTTTTATCCATGGTGTCTTCTTTGGCCCTTGTTGAAAACTAGTTGACTGTATAGGCTTGGGTTTCTTTCTGGACTCTCTATTCTCTTCCCCTTCCAATGTCTTAAGACACTGGTTATCCCCGGAAGCTGGATTTCCAGCCCCCACCTCTCCTTCCAAGGTTGTTTCATAGACTTGCTCCAAATGGGGGGAGTTCATCCAACACTATGAAAGCCTGGTTGTCTGTCTGATACATTTAGTACAGGGTAGCATATTCCACCAAGGTATAGTTTACACATTTTGCTACGACTAACAAGGAGGAGCTCCAAGTACAACCACAGCTTATATCTGAAATTCTGAGCATCATAAACCCAGCAACCTGGAGGGCACATCTGGCCCCAGTTCTGGGGGCTTTTATTTAATCAGCAGTGTGGCTGAATATGGAACTTTAGGCTCAAAATCTGAAATGTAACCTGAATATAACAGGGCTGCCTTGAGGCCTACCTCTGCTGCCAATGCCATGCACAGACAAGCCAGCGAGCATCTGACTCGACAAGCCTCACAAAGCACAGTAGAACTTCTAAAACTCCTCTTGACGCATTCTCTCCCCATGCCCACACTGCACAGTAGGTGCTCCCATCTCCCTTTTCTCACTTTTTTAGAGACAAGGTTTCCGCTCTGTCACCCAGGCTGGAGTGCAAGTGGTACAATCAGAGCTCACTGCAGCCTCTAACTCTTGGGCTGGACCTTCCACCTCAACGCCCCGAGTAGCTGGGATTCCAGAAGCAAGTCACTGTACCTGACTCTTTTCTCACCCTCCTTCCTTTCTATCCCTCATGGCCTCCCAGAAGATTCGGGTTCAGTACTTTCACACTGTGTGACTTTGAGCAAGTTGCTCAATCTCTCTGCTCCCCTGTTGTCGTCGGATTAAGAGATTATCCTTTACCCATGGTGTCTTCTTGGGTAAGTCTATGAAACAACCATATGTGCAAGGCATCTAGAACTGCCCCTGGCATCTAGTAAGTGATCGATAAACACTGGCAATTCTTTATGCACATCTATGTTTTGTATACCTTCTTTCACATTTCTGAAATTTCAAGTTGGGGAACTGAGAGATCAAGTATAAATTGAGCTTTTATTTTTTTACTTTTTTATTTTTTGAGTTGGAGTCTCACTCCGTCGCCCTGACTGGAGTGCAGTGGCCGCTCCCGGCCACCGCAGCCTCGACCCGCTGGGCTCTGGCGATCCTTCTGCCTCAGCCTTCCGAGTAGCCGGAATTACAGGCGCGAGCTACCACACCCGGCTGATTTTTTGATTTATTGTGGAGATGAGGTCTCGCTGCCCAGGCGGGTCTTGAACCCGCGGGCTCAGGCAATCCACTCACCTCACCCTCCCAAAGTCGCGGGATTACAGGCTGAGCCACCGAACCCGGCTTTGAGCTTTTATTTTTATTTTACTTTTTTTTTTTTTGTAGAGATGGGGTCTTGTCATGTTGCCCAGGCTGGTCTGAACTCCTGAGCTCAGGCAATCCGCTTGCCTCAGCTTCCCAAAGTGCTGGGATTACAGGTGTGAGCTACCATGCCCGGCCCTAAACTGGGCCTTTAGGGGGCAGATTATGAATTGGGCTGAAGCCAGAAAGAGATTGGGGTAGGAGGAGAGCTTAGGTCTCCTCTGGGGGGCTTTCATTCATGCCCCAACCAGGGAAAGACCCCAAGCCCAAGAGTCCCTTCCTGCTTCCTTCCTCATGCCCCCAAGATTCCCCCCTCCCCCATCTATTAAGAGTAACCTGTACCGTGCCCACCCCAGTTCAGTCCACACAGGCCCCAACTCTGTGGGCAGCAAACATCCGAAGCTCTTTATTTCAATGCTGTTTGTGCCATCCCTTCCCCTCTCCCTTCTTGTGGAGGCTCTGGGGACCAGGGGCAGGAACACACAGTTCTGGGTAGGCAGGATGGTGGGTGGCAGCCGAAAAGGAGGCAGCAAGAAAGAGGGAGCATTAGAACAACATTCTCTTAGTTGGCTTCTTGTTTTCAGTTTTCTGACAACGGCCGTAGATGATGACTCTGAACGATTTCTCATTCTTCGGAAACACACAAGTCAGGCTCGGCCCACAGGGACACTCGCGGTACAGGCCAAAGAACATCTGGGAAAGGCAGGACTTTGACTTTGATCTTGAGGGTGGCTCTCCCCTCAGCCAGGAAGAGCAGCCCTTCCCCCACCCAGCTCCAGGGCCCAACTGCTTGCCCATGGCGAGGAGCCTGGGGACAAAGGACCGCTCACGCCACGGCCCAGAGCGGTGCCTCCGGTTGCCTTCTCCAGGCTGGCTCCCGGAGTGGCCTGGAGCCTCCCGTCTCGTTCCCTCCATCCCTCTGCCTGTCACTAACCTATCTGCCTTTTTTTTTTTTTTAGATTGGAAAACACAGTTTATTTTGAAAGTAAATTAGAAAAAGAGGGGAGATTCACCTCCCCAAGGTAGGGGAGGGGGCCAAAGCTAGGAAAACATGGCGGCCATGGCTCAAAGAACACACGGCCTGGCCAGTGCTCAACAAAACAACGGCCTATCTGCCGGTCTTAAGTGACAGATGCACCGCGGTGGGGCCCCTTCTCGACTCCTTAAGTTCCCTCGTGGGCAAATCAGCTCCCCTCTCCCACACCCAGGACGTTGCCTGTGCCCTTCGCCCTCCAGGAGTACCGCGGCCACAACAGATCTCCTGGGGCTAGGGGAAGAGGGGGCCTGGGGCCGAGGTCGGACCTGGCTGTGTCCATTCACTGTGCTACTTTCGGGGTCTGCAGAGACGACCCCTGAAGAATGAGAACCCGCATTAGGAAGAGAAGCCTCTGGGATTCCAAGCCCCTGGGGGGGGGGCGGTCCCATCCTGGGTCTGTCCGCGGGCTCCCCCTGTCGGCTGGAAGGTGCAGTCCCAGCGGAGAACCCCCGGCTCCGGGTCATTTCCGCCCACCGGCCCTTCCCCCCTTCCCGGGGATCTGGGCCCGCCCCGGCTGCCACTGGACCCTTCCCCGGCTCCCCACCAGCGCCGACACCCACCTGCGTGTGACATACGCTGCCCTCGGACCCCTTCTCTGCGCAGTGCGACTCGCAGCTGTCGGGCGTCCGGCGGCAGCACTGGCTCTTGCACGCCTTGCTCAGGATGCAGATCTCCCTGACGTCCTGCGGGGAGGACCAGCTGTGCCCAGCCCTGGGGACCGGATCCGCCCGAGGTCCCGCAGGGAGACAGGTGCCCCGCCCGTCACGCCCGCCTGCGCCCTCGCCGTCCACCCAGGGCTTCCGCCCCTCGGGGCTCCTAGCCCTAGGAGGCGCCCTCACCACCGCCACCCCCCTCCAGACGGGCGGTCTCTAGTTGGGAACCGGGAAGGGGGAGATGCAGGGTCCCCGGAGGGGACTGAACAAAATCTTAGCGTCCCCAAAACAGGTTGCTTCCCACACACCCCAGCGTGGTCTAGACTTTCCCGCCTTTCTCAAGCACTTCCTTCTGCTGCAGGACCTGTCTCTCCTGCAAACTACTTAACCCTTTCTACTGAGCTTGATGGCCATAGAAATGATAATGGGGGGGACACAACATCAACAAGGGTACCTGATCTCAAACCAGGCAAAATGGGGACCCAAAGGAGGCCCAAACTTCAACTGTATGATGACCACTTGTATACCTAATCCTGAATTGTACCCCACACTTTCTTTTTTTTAAGCAGGATTTATTTATTTATCCCCCCTCCCGAGTTGGAGTCTCACTCTGTCGCCCAGACTGGGGTGCAGTGGCCTCTCCCGGCCACCGCAACCTCGACCTGCTGGGCTCTGGCAATCCTTCCTCCTCAGCTTTCCAAGTAGCTGGAACTACAGGCGTGTGCTACCACACCTGGCTAATTTTTAAATTTAGGGTAGAGATGAGGTCTCGCCACGTTGCCCAGGCTAGGCTCAAACCCGTGGGCTCAGGTGGTTCTCTCACCTCCAGCTCCCAAAGTGCTGGGATGACAGGCGTGAGTCACTGTACCTGGCATTTCCTGGTGGATTTTTTTTTCAAGTTGGAGTCTCACTCTGTCACCCAGACTGGAGGGCAGTGGCATGCTCCCGGCCACCGCAACCTCAACCTGCTGGGCTCTGGCGATCCTTCCTCCTCAGCTCTCCAAGTAGCTGGAACTACAGGCACACGCTACCACACCTGGCTAATTTTTTTCTTTTTTTTATTGTAGAGATGAGGTCTTGCCAAGTTGCCCAGGCGGGTCTCGAACCCGCGGGCTCAGGCAATCCACTCACCTCAGCCTCCCAAAGTGCTGGAATTACAGGCTGAGCCACCGAGCCCGGCTAGGATTTATTAAAAGGATAGAAAAGCTCCCACAGTGGGAGGGGACCCAAAGGGGTTGCTCATACCCCAGATTTTAAAAATAAAATAAAAATTGAAAAATTGAAATTAAAAAATGATAATAAGACCACCTTTTTACTAAGGAGCTTGTGGACTGGAAATGTCTAACAGATTTCTTGCAGGAAAAACCCCTCCCCTTGTCTCCTCCCATCTAGTCCACCACCTTGGCAGCAATCATGTGACTAACCCGTCCATCTGCCTGCTGTCCCCTGATGTCAGTACCTGCCCTTACCTGCCCCTTTGTGATGAGGAGGAGCAGACCATCACCCAATCACCTTAATGACCTTCCCCCAGCAAAGGGAAGGGTTAAAAGGACTCAGCCATGAGCAGCCCAACCATTGCTTTGCTAAGCTATGGTGTGGCCATGTGCTCTTTGAGCTATGGCCAGAACATCCTGTCTTAAGCTTTGGCCCCCTCCCCTGTGTTGGGGCGGTGAGTCTCCTCTTTCTCTCTCTCTCTCTCTCAATTAGTTTTTAAATAAACTATATTTCCTAGTCTAACTTCTGTGCAGTTCTTTGCATCATTCACACGGTACCAGATGGCACACCAGATGCCCACACCCCAGCGGGCCTGACCTCTAACATTCTGGAAGTCCTGCTGGGAGTGTAACCTAACAGGGAGGTTGAGAAGGAAGAATCGCCTGAGTCCAGGGGAGGTTGAGACTGCGGTGAACTGTGATCATGCCACTACACTCCAACCTGGGTGACAGAGTGAGGCTGACTCAAAAAAAAAAAAAAGAATGTAACTGATGGAGGTTAGGAGGGCATTGCCTTTGGGGCTCTATGGCTGAGGGGAGCATGAGTGAGCCTTCCCAGGGGCCCAGGTGCTGGAAATTCTCTACTTCTTGTCCTGGTGGTGGTTATGACAGTGTTTGCATAGGTTCAAATCCAATGATTTTCATGTAAACTAAAGATGTGGGCATCTTACTGTATGTAATTTTTACCTAACATATATTAAGTCCTATTAATTAATAATTATTGTGTAAATGATATCTATAATCCTATCTGTTATGTATCATTAAGTGTTATAAAGAGAAGAAAGTAGCCGGCTCGGTGGCTCAGCCTGTAATCCCGCGCCTTGGGAGGCTGAGGTGAGTGCATTGCCTAAGCCCGCGGGTTCGAGACCCGCCGGGCAACTTGGTGAGACCTCATCTCTACAATAAATCAAAAAAGTAGACAGGTGTGGTAGTGCGCGCCTGTAGTTCCAGCTACTCGGAAGGCTGAGGCGGAAGGATCGCCGGAGCCCAG